CAGAAGAGCAAAACAAGAAATTATTGGCAGAAATTACAGTAGAAGAAATAAATTCTGCAATTTCAAGGCTAAAAAATGGTAAGAGTCCGGGGGGTGATGGTTATTGCTCAGAATGGTATAAAATTTACAGGAAAAAAATTACTCCACTATTACATAAAACATTTAATTGGATTCTTAAGGGAGGAAAAATTGCAGAATCTTGGAGGGAAGCTATAATCTCAGTAATTGCAAAAGAGGGTAAAGATGTGACTAATTGCTCAAACTATAGGCCAATAAGTGTGCTTAATGTGGATTATAGGCTCTTCACTGCAATACTGGCCAGGAGAATGGAGAATATCTTAACAAAAATTATTAGTTTAGATCAAACAGGTTTTATAAAACATAGACAAACACATGACAATATTCGCAGAACGCTACATATTATGCGGCATATTAAAGATGAAAATAAGGAGGCAGCAATCTTGGGAATGGATGCAGAAAAGGCATTCGACTCTGTTAGATGGGAGTTCTTGTTCAGGGTTATGAAGAAGTTTAATTTTCATGAGGGAATTATCAGAACTATACAGTCTCTGTACACAAATCCTATTGCAAGGGTAAAGGTCAACGGTAGTTTGTCTAAGGTAATTCAATTAGAAAGGGGGTGTCGTCAGGGATGTTCTGTCAGCCCACTCTTATTTTCTGTGTTTTTGGAGCCACTCAGCCAATGGGTAAAACAGCTCAATAGTATGAATGGAGTTGTTGTGTCAGGAGTGGAGCATAAAACAGCCCTGTTTGCAGACGATGTACTGTTCTATTTGGAGAAACTAAACTTATCATTACCAAACTTGATGCATTGTTTGACAGAATTTGGTAAACTGGCAGGCTATAAAATTAATGTTCAAAAAACCCAAATAATAGCTTTTAATTACGAGCCAAGTTTAGCTATAAAAACAAAATTACTTGCTGAAATGGGACCAGCAGTCAATGAAGTATTTAGGTATAAACATTAACGAAAGATTTGGACAACTTGAAAATGGCAAATTATAATTCTGTAATATCTAATATAAAAACAGATTTAGCTAAATGGAATTTAATTCCTTATCTAAGTCTTGCATCTAGAGTGGAAATAATTAAGATGAATATTCTGCCTCGACTATTATATATTTTTCAAAATCTCCCTGTTGAGGGTGACGGATAAAGACTTCAAAGAATGGGACAAATTAATTTCTAGATACATATGGCAAGGAGCAAGACCACGTACAAAATTTAGAACTTTACAATTGGCAAAAAATAAGGGTGGTCTGGCAAAGTTACTATCAAGCTGCTCAGTTAAAGGTGTTGCTGAGTTTGTGCGATCCAGATTATGTTGCAAAATGGAAAGACATCGAGGGTAAATGAAACCACCAATACAGGCGTTAATGTTTGATGTTAAATTACAAATATTGAAGAAACAAAAGGTTAACCCTTGGCTGTGGGTGTCTCTGTCAATCTGGTCCAGTCTCTTGAAGAAGCATAATTTAATAGAGCAATGTAGATTATTTAGATTGATCGCATATGATACTGATTTTGGTCCAAACCAGTTGGATGGCACCTTCAGAGCACGGGAAAATGGTCCAAAAATGCATTGGGAGATAATAAAAAACAAAGAAATGCTAAGTTTTCAACAGATAAGGGACATGTTTAATCTTGGTAAGCAGGATTTTCATGGATACCTACAGCTAAGGCACTATTTAAAGCAAGAACTTAATAAAGTAAACTGGGACCTATTTTCAATCAGGGATTCTTAAAATATTTCTGGATGCACTTAAATCAGAGTTAATCAGTAAAATTATATCTAAACTATATACAGCTTTGGAAGCTTTAAAAAGGGGACACCACAGATTATGTGAAAGAAAGATGGGAAAGAGAAGCAAACATTGTAATTTCAGTAGAGGATTGGGAACAAATAAGTTTAAGTCAGTGGACAACCACAAACTCTGTATTGTTGGAGGGAATATGGATGGAAGAACATAAGTAGATTTTTTCTGACCCCTGCACAGAGGAAATATGCAGATACGAAATGTTGGAGATCTTGTGGTACTTCCAAGGCAGATCACTTTCACATTTTTTGGGGATGCCCACTATTGAAATCATATTGGACAGGAGTTGAAATTATTATTGATAAAGTAGTAAATTGTAGTGTTCCCCTAAACTTTGAAGTTTTTTATCTGGGTAAAACTGATATACTGAACTTAACTAGAAGGATTGATTATAATATACTGAAAATGATGCTGTTGGCGAGCAAAAAGGCAATCACCAAAAAATGGCGGACGGATCAAATACCTAAGGTGGAAGAGTGGGTGGATGTAAGGCTCAATATCTACAATATGGAGAAAGTGACGGCATCATTTAGGTTGGAGAAAGACAAATTTATGGGGGGGATGGTTAAATTATATTAGACAAACACGTTCTGACTTTGTATAGAGTCTGAAAATTAGCAGTCTGTGTTGAAATATGTCTTTGGTGTGATGTAGAGTAATGTATAAAATAACATCTTAAAGCACACCCTGGTTCTATGCTACAATGTTATTTCTACAAAAATCTGTAAATAAATAGTTTTCAGTATCACTGTCGTGTTACATAGGCATCACAGACAACACTGGCCTTCCTTTTACAGCAATGTAATGTGATTGTAACAGCGCATTGTTCTTGACAAGTCCTTAAGTCCTTTTTTTAACCTTATTTAGACGTGGATTAGTCCTGTTATAGACTTGGTTTAGATCTCTCTATTACAGGAATCCAGCAGACAGAGGACAGGAGTTTTAGCCCTATGCACTCACTCATATAAAGTAATGTCAGTAATGGAAAACTCGTATCTCATTGTTGTCGTCCAAACCGAGCTGAATCAGATCAATCAATTCCTTTTACAGCAATGTAATGTGATTGTAACAGCGCATTGTTCTTGACAAAATCCATGTTACTGATATTAGCAAATATCCAAAACAGTTAACAGTATAGAGAATTGTAACCCTGGTTCTATGCTACAATGTTATTTCTGGTTTATTTAATTTACATATATATATTAAAAAAAGTATGTAGGTAAATGTCAAATGTAGGTGAATGTACCTAGTGTAAGGTGAATGTCTGTAAATGTGGGTATAAGATATGCCTTTATTAGTCCCACAGTGGGGAAATTCCAGTGTTGCAACGCACTATTACAGAACAGCAGGAAAAGGTAACACAGATAATAAATAATAGCTTAAAGATAATTTAAAAATAGACTTAAAAAAATAATTGCACATGGTTATGATTGACTGGTACATGTTCAGTGTTGACAGTGTTTATTGTAAAGTCTGACAGCAGCAGGAAGGAAAAACCTGCGAAACCTTCACACAGCGAAGAGTGAATCAGTCTCACTGAAGCTGCTCCAGAGCAGACAGAGCCTCCTGCAGGGGACAGAGCCTCCTGCGGGGAGACAGAGCCTCCTGCAGGGGACAGAGCCTCCTGCGGGGGACAGAGCCTCCTGCGGGGGACAGAGCCTCCTGCGGGGGACAGAGCCTCCTGCGGGGGACAGAGCCTCCTGCGGGGGACAGAGCACAGAGCCTCCTGCGGGGACAGAGCCTCCTGCGGGGGACAGAGCCTGCGGGGGACAGAGCCTCCTGCGGGGGACAGAGCCTCCTGCGGGGACAGAGCCTCCTGCGGGGGAGGGGGGACAGAGCCTCCTGCCTCCTGCGGGGAGACAGAGCCTCCTGCAGGGGACAGAGCCTCCTGCTCCTGCAGGGACAGAGCCTCCTGCAGGGGGTGAGACTCATGGTCCAGGCATAGAGGTGACCTTAGTCAGGACCCTCCTGTCCCCCACCTCCTGCACTGAGTCCAGGGGACAACAGCCCAGGACAGAGCTGGACTTCTTGATGACCTTGTCCAGCTTCTTCTTCTCCCTCTCTGTGATGCTGCTGCTCCAGCAGACCACACCGTACAGGATGGCTGATGCCACCACAGAGTCATAAAAGGTCTTCAGGAGTGGCCCCCCCCACTCCAAAAGACCTGAGTCTCCTCAGGAGATAGAGCCTGCTCTGGCCCTTCCTGTACAGTGCATCTGTGTTGTGAGTCCAGTCCAGTTTATTGTTCAGATGAACACCCAGGTACTTATATGAGTCCACTCTCTCAATGTCCCTTCCCTGGATGTTCACTGAGGGGGCAGTAGAGTGACGTCTGCAGGAAATGACAGTGGCAGACTGGGAGGAGGGTGAGTCCATGTGTAGTGGCTGAAGAGCAGAGGCAGAGGTGTGAAGTCCAGCTGGGGAGGTGAGAGCTGGCAGATGGGTGGGGGGAGGAGTGGGTGATTGATCAAACCTCAGGAAGTGAGAATTGAGGTCATTCACCCACTGCAGGTCCCCCTCCCTCTGGGCAGTAGGTGCTTTGAAGCCTGAGATAGTCTTGAGACTTCTCCACACCCCCTGGATGTTCTTCTGCTGCTCCATCCTTCTCTTTTGGCCGGCTTGGCTCATCCTGATTTTCCTCCTCAGCTCCTTCTGTACAGCCTTCAGCTCCTCCTTGGTCCCTGATGTAGGTATATAGATATATGTATGTATATATGTATGAATATATGTGTGTGTATGTATATGTATTTACATATAATTGAGAATATGCATATACTTAAGGTACGGGTACGAGGATATTATTATCGAACAAAATCCTGTAAGTTTGTATTTTTCAATTTGTGAAATAAAAAAAATAAAAAAATGAGCCTTTTAAAAAAAAAAAAAAAAAAAAAAATGACTATACGTACAAAAATCTGTAAATAAATAGTTTTCAGTATCACTGTCGTGTTACGTAGGCATCACAGACAACACTGGCCTTCCTTTTGCAGCAATGTAATGTGATTGTAACAGCGCATTGTTCTTGACAAAATCCATGTTACTGATATTAGCAAATATCCAAAACAATTAACAGTATAGAGAATTGTAACTATGATTGTCAATGAATTTTCAAACTAAACCTTAGTAAACAATGACCAGTTCTGGCTTGAAGCACATGTAAACTAAATTTAAGTTACAATAAACATAATTTTTAATGCATCAATAATGTAATTCTCTTCTCTCTTTGTCAAAGGAACAGCAGCACTTGTTAAGTCCTTTTTTTAGCCTTATTTAGACGTGGATTAGTCCTGTTATAGACTTGGTTTAGATCTCTCTCTATTACAGAAATCCAGCAGACAGAGGACAGGAGTTTTAGCCCTATGCACTCACTCATATAAAGTAATGTCAGTAATGGAAAACTCGTATCTCATTGTTGTCGTCCAAACCGAGCTGAATCAGACCACCGTTTGTCGCAGGACGATATCGAGTCAATAAAGGTCTGAGCAGCAACATTAAGGGATAAAAAGGTGTAAAAGAAATGAAACAAAGACATAATTGCCAAAATGAGCTTTAAAAGTCCTATATTTCACAAAATTGACCCTTGTGAGCTTTAAACCATATTATGCTGTTAGCTCATCAAAAATATACCTGGAGTTGTGTTGTGTTTTATTCCCACATTTGAGTGTCTGTCTACATTTCCAGGCTCAAAAATGCTCACCTTGAGATGTCATGCAGTGGTATTTTTTTTTACAGCTACTTTTTACCTTTAGTTCATTAGAGATTAGCAATTCCAGGTCTGAAATAATCTAATTGGCCCTTGTGAAGGTGTATGGAGTGTAAAAAAAAACAATAGCACAATTCCTATATTACCTCATGACATCACAAGTTGGAACAGTGTTTTCAGTTTGAGAGAAGAACTACAAGAACCACAAGATTTGTGTGTTAAACATGTGAATGAAACAAAACACAACTCCAGGTCTGTTTGTGATGAAGAAACAACATCATTTAGAGCAAAAAATAGTGTAATATAGGCCCTTAAGTCTCATTCAAATTGTGGACATTAATATTTAGTAAGACAATATTATTTGACTGAAAGGATACATGTTGGTGTCTTTGCGTCGGCTCTCGAGCCACTTCTTGTTACTGTCAATAAGGTCCTGAAGTCTGTGTCCGTCTGCCTCTGTGGTGCTCTGCCTGTAGGGGGCGCTCCAGTTGCTTTGACTAAAACACAAAAACATGAGTCCACTCCAAAAATATATCTAATATATGACACAAGCTATTATAACAGTAACAACACAATAACAGTTTGTTACCTGAGAGGAGTGTGAGAAGAGTAGGAGGTGCTACGTTTAGAAACACTTGGCCCCATTGCTGCTCCTAAAATATTCCAACATAATATAGATTTTTTTTACAATAAGAATTGCTAGCATATAATACAATACAATAGTAATTAAATATTCATGTAGCTTAAATTATTTTAAATGAAACACCACAACAGATCTATCATGAAAGATGTGATCCCTGTATCAAAAGGTATAGATGGCAACTGTCTGAGCGAACACAATCTAACTTAATAAAACAAAACATATTATTGTACCAGGAAATATCTGCCTCCATCTGCTGCTGATGAGGTCCTCTGAGGTCTTCAGTCCAGTGTTGACAGTGGAGCTGAACACTGGAGGTGGCGGTGCCCAGTTTTCAGACGTCTGTGAACGCCTCATGTGGGCTGTGCTGAAGTCCAGCCCGGGCAGAGGCTCTCCCACCACCGTGTTCACCTGCCCTGAAGTCACCTGCAGCGACTCCACCAGGTCCTGGACTCTGTGTGGGACTGCAGCCTGATCTGAAAACAAGCATTAGATTCATATAGTTTACTGTTAACATTTGAATCAATCTATATAGACTAATGGTTAAAAAGTATTTTATTATTTCTTTAAGTAAAATGTAACTTTTCCAATGCCACCTGCTTTTGCGGACCCTCCACGAGAAAAGCTATATAGTGCACCTTTAAATAACGCTTTTGACTAAACTCATACACCAGTGTAACACTGGAAACTGGAATGAAGTGTCTTGCTCATGGACACAATAAGAGTATTTGCTGTCAGTAGCAAGAACCGTCAATTATCAGGTTATTGGACAAACATCTGTACCTTTTTATAATGACATGATAGATTCCTTTGTGTTTGTAATACTAAAGGCGAGGTAATTCCAGTGTCTTGCTCAAGAACAGAAACAGAATATACTTCATCAATAGGAGGAATCAAAACCAGCATAAGTGCAGTTAATGTGCTCTACAAACTCATCTGTTATTGCCCCTAATAGTACATATATTTTTACCTCTGGTGAAAGGTGGGTCCACAGTGCTGCTCACATCTGATTCACTCACATCAGAAGTCACAGTTCTTTCAGGTATTCCAGAAGTATTTTCAAACAAAGGCTGTAGAAAAAAAACAAGTTCAGTTTGACAGACTAACATCCTTGTCAACAAGAATACAGGACAATTTGTAACAATTCAAACTAAAACTTGATCAAGTAGTGATGGCTGCACCTTATCGGTCAAGGAGCTCTCCAAATGCTGAAGTTTCTCCTCCTCTTTTCTCTGTAGAAGTGAGATACCTTTTTGAAACTGTCTGTTGCAGATCACCCACAATTTGGGCTTCCTGAAAGAAAAAATAGGAGAGCATAAAAACAATTCATTCTTGTTTTAACAATATACCTATTGTTGTATGCTAATGAACCCTTTTATTGTTTTGATTATGTTATTGTTGATTGTTTATTGATTATGTTATGAAGGGCAGGGCCTAGTATTACAAGCAGATACTTTTGATTAGATTTTTAAATAATAAATATCCAAAATAAGAACCCACAAATATAGAGAATGATATAAGAATATAAGAGTGAAAGGGGATCTTATCAAAGGTAATCATTTTGCTTTCACTATACCTCAGTATAAAAAGCAGTGTTCCCATTATTCCTTTACCTGCTGTAGATTGTGTATGATGTCGTCTGTTGCTCCCCTCTCCAGACTTGGGTTTGTCTGAGCTGCTCTTAACGCCGCCTCTCGCTCCACCAGTCTCCTGCTCTCTCTCTCCAGGAACACCTTGGTTTTCTGGATGGAGTCTCCATGTGATAAGACGAACCTCTTGACACTGTACAGATACAGGAAAGTAGAATGATTATTTCACTTATAATACTAGAATTTTGTTTACATGTTTACAAATGTTACATTCAGAAACCAATATGTGTAGCCACAAAAAAATCATAATCAGAACTACCCAAAGTTTTTGCAAATGAGTTTCATAATTGATTTATTGGAAGCCTGAGTCAAATACAATGACAGTACATCTCTCCTTCAGTGTTTTTCAAGTTTTCTTTTCTGACCAATGGGTTTTCTAAACGTTTGTCCTTGCCGAGAGGAGGGGCCTACAAACTCTGGGACAGTTATACATTTGCTTATTTCCTATCAATGTCTGTGTTAATCTTCCTGTCTGCTATCGTTTCACTG